TCATGTATGTCGAAACAGAGTACGCTCCGTTAGTCAGGTCTGATACCATCTCACAATATTGCAATCCATTCTCAAACTTTGTAAGATTGAAAAGTATACAATCTCCAATAAGTCTCGGCAATGAAAAAATCACAGCCACAACGCACATTGCGTATATGATTCCGCAATTCATGCTCGATGCTCCTGACGTCTTTTTCCACTTGTGCTTTTTCGTTCCATATATCAGCATGCACAGTAGTAACCATATTGTACAAAGCAGTAGGATTCCATTTATTACTTGGAATGCTATCATAATCGACAAAGTGTTTGTCCTCACGTTTGTGGTAGTAGTAGTTGTATAATTCGTGATATTCAAGACCATTGTTCTTGTTCTATATATTCTGTCATACAAGCTTACCTAAATGATCTATATTTACAAAGATGAAATAAGACACTCTAAAAATTGCCAATATATTCAATTGCATTGTTGTTCAACGGCATGTAGTGACACACTGCAGAGAATTTCAAAATACAAAAAGGAGCGCATTTTACGCGAGCCCCGTCGTACTGCTTAATAAATACATATCTACCATAAACCTTGCATGTTATTATGTCAAACAATTGGCAAACTTATGTGCACTTGAAGAGATAACTATAAGCTCTGACAGTATGATGGTGCTTTTATAATTTTGAAACTTTATCGATATTATTACAAAGCCTTAACGTGGGGACTACAAAAAGCACCAACAACCCCTTAACCACAGCTATAGGCAATTAATCAGAAACGCCCTATGTCTACTTGCCTTCACTTTAACATGACATGTCAGTCTATAACGTTTGGTCACTGCCGTTATATTCAACACCAGCTGGCTATCTATGTACGCTTTGATTCCGGAAGTATTTTGCGAAAATTTAAATTAGAACATTTCGTCATTCAGTTTCTTGTCAGAGAATCTGTGTTGGTTTAACAGTGTCTCCATTGGATTTGGATCTTGTCTACCACTTAGTTGGCTCAGAGCTACGACAACTATTTCTTTATGCGCGCTTCTCAATCGTTATAATATATACAGGATTACCATCTACCTAAAAGCCAAAAAAAAGCACGGGTGTCAGAAGGATAATTATTTTGGTGGGTACTTAATAACAGTAGAAACGTAGAATAAAATGAGAAAGAAATCATACACAAGTCTCTTCTGTTTTTTTTTAATTTGAAGTCGATTCGAACAAGGTTGCAAAACATAAACACATACTTTTAAATATTAGCATTACCGAGAATCAAAAAAAGATCGTTTTGATGAGATGCGTTGTTTAATCATTGGACGGAATCATTGCTGGTATTTTGCAGTATGAAATGCCCAATCACCCCCAGAGGCCGCTACCTTGTAGTCTAGTTTTAGTTGGGAAAGTTTGCTTGTATAAAAGTCATCATATATACTTTGGTTTCCCACAATGTTTTTTGCAAAATTTTTGTGGTTGTATTGTGGGCACTAATTGCTGTTTTTCCCGTGCCTTTAATTTAAATTAATATCGCTGTCACAATAGCAGGAGTGAGCATAGCGCTCACCCCTCCGACTTCGTTTGACATTAGCCAATTCCTTTTTCATATTCGTAACGGAACTCAAGCTTACTCTCACTCATTGTATAAATTATCGTTTGTCCCTAAAAACAGTATCCATGAAAACTAGCAGCAATTGTTGTAACTGTGTCACAGTTTGCCTGGAAAAACGCGAACCTTTCCTTTAACAGAAACATTTCGCGCTGCGAGTGAGTGAGACATGAGGCCAAGGTGAAACGTGGATAATTGATACGTTACAATAATAACGCAGGGAGGCGTTACGTATAATAATAAACATCGTCTCCCATTTTCACGCAATCTTTGTACGCAAAACACAAACGAGTCATCCATGTTTCTAAGACAAAATAAGCACACAACTGAAAAATAAGCACTTTTCTTAGAAATAAGCACATTGTTACTAGACGCGGGCTAGAAAATAAGCACAAATCTTAGAAATAAGCACAATATGGTAATCCTGTATATATAGCGGATTACATACTTTGAGATGGTCATATTACATTTTGGCGGATTTTACGACACGATTTCATTTAATGTCAATGGGAATATTCTCAGTTCATTTTATTCGAAGGTGATATTGGTATGCTGACCACGTAAAACTATATATTTATAATCAATTATTAATATGCTTCCACGAAGTATGAATATCTATTATGTATGTTTTTATTAACCGCTTTGTTATGACTCCAAAATTTTACAATAATGTTATGATCTAAGTCAGGGGTCGGCAACCTTTTGTCGCTCGCGGGCCAAAATTAAGGTTGCAAGTCATTGGCGGACCACACATATTTTTAGGAAGTTTAAAAACGTAACGGATGGTACTTTTCATAATAAAAATCAAGCAGTGATACATCTCTCAAATAGAATATAGTTTCATTTCCTCATTGCATCTCATAAAATTCCATTTCAATAATTTCAGCGCCATTGAACCCTTTGCACTTAGCATCAACTTTTCTGCGTTTTGTTGCCATTTGCCTAATTATAATTAAATTATATGCTCATTAAACGAGTAATTGTGAATTATATAATTGTTAGGTTATAATATAATTTAGTCTAAAGAATATATTCGTCAAAACGGATGTTTTGTTACTATAATTTAGTGAAGCGTCGCGGGCCGGATTATAGTTCTCCGCGGGCCGGATCCGGCCCGCGGGCCGTAGGTTGCCGACCCCTGATCTAAGTGAACAGATATTGAACAAGTCACACTGGCTGAGCTATCAGTTTAGTTGTTAACATGACTTAACATATTACATGAATAACCATAGAGTTCACCACAAGCTAGATAGGTGTATGCAAGCGGAAGTTGTCCGGTTCGTAGTATGTGTACAACAACGCTTTCATCACTGGCAGCGCACAACGTATATGATTGCTGTAGAATTACTCATCCAAGGCTGTTATTAAAGACGTTTAATAAAATTTGCTATGATCAGCAGTAGTGGCGTAACTACGTAAATGGCGCCCATGGCAAAGTTTTAAAATGCGCCCCTTCCCTTAATGACTGTTGTTGAAATACTTGTACGAGTAAAAATACCCGTTTCAGTTATTTCCAATTTGAAATGATTTTATCGAAACATTTGATGATTAAAAGTTTTCGCCGTTTTTGCTCCCCTGTCCAAACGACGCACATGGCACGAGTCATGTCTGCCACACCCAGGGGCGTAGCCCCCCCCCCCCCCCCCTTTGGAATGTGTAAAAACGACGACTAATAGGCGCGACTCGCCACGCGCCGAATAAGCGCATAAAACTTTATGGCTCCGGATGCCGTCAAGTAGAAGCGACGTGATTGTGACTGAATTCGTGACTGAAGGCGATTTATGGATCTTTCCCCGACCTTTGACCCCCGTAAATTTCTTCCTATACTTTACCATCGCAAAATTTTCGGTGCTTATGTAAAGAGTGGTTTTGCGAGTTGGCGCCTGTAAAATAGGGTATTTTGCTTCAAACAATTATTCTGATTCATAGCATTCAACAATCTGTTTTGTAAAAGTACCGGTGAAGAATTTTAGCGTAGTCTATTGCAGCTATTTCTACACTAATTTTTTATTACTGCAGTTAAACTGAAACTTCTAAGAAGACAAAGTGATTATTGAATTAATTGATTTACATTTAAATATCCGAAACAGAACTAAAGATTAACGAATATATATATTTCAAAAACGCGAAAACGAGGTAATGTTTACGACGACGCCTGAAATCAGTCTGAGCGAGAAAAGTGTCTGAGCGGATGCGAAACCAATGTCCCGAAGTAAACAAGGAAGTCGATGCTCGGGGAAACATTCATTCAGTCCGCGATTTCTATTTGATGCCTCTATTCCTGGCAAATCCTGACATATTCAGTTTCTATTTCTAGAAACATTCTGTATCACACATAGCAATTTTTAGAACATCAGTTCTCTCAGAAACTCGCGTTTTGCGGCCTCCGGCCAGACCACCTGTTGCTGTCAAACTTGGCAATTACAAATGTCGGCACTCCGAAAGTATTCGTACCAAGATGACGCACAACCTGAACCCTAACCTGACACACATACTATATTCAGGTTGTGCGACATTTCGTACGTAAACTGACTTACAAATTTTTTCTATTCAGTAACGAACCTCAATGTTTTAAACCGTCAATCATAATAAAGTTGATAATTATGCAAGGCAATGAATAGGCTCTTCTTTTTAGATATTGCGAATTCATTTGCATTAATTTGGTTAATAAACGAGAATACTGGACATTCGTATCCCGGAACTCAGCCATCAAAGCGAGTATAACCGTAATAATAAACAAACAATTAAATCATACATTTAGCGTCATCGTAATTTGAATAAGACTATATCATCGCTATTGATAGACGAAATGCATACACAATCGCATGGAGTTCCTGATATAGCAACTATTCTATGTATTCAATACATGCAAGACAAATAAACGTGCTTTTGATCACTTAAGATCAGCTCTTTTACGTAAATATTCTGGTCCCAGCCTGATTGGCACAGAAAATAAATGTCTGACCTTGAAGTGCATCTGGACTTATTTTCCATTCTATTCTTTACGAGACACATAAAAAATGACATCTGCAAAAGCTTAACAACACGTGGGCGTGCGATACATACATTATAAAGTAATGCTCAAAACGTAACGCCTGACGCAGTGCGATGAAACTGAGGTAATATACAGTTAATCCAAGTCTGTGACATTCACACTGACGTATTGCAGGTAACGTAACAATTCGTTCTTGTTGAAATAACAATGGTAGCATCGACTATACCGATTGGAATAGTTTGAATTTGTTCCAGCTTCACTACCTCCTTAATAAAATTTCTGATCTCCGTATACAATACTATTCAAGCATTAGGACCGTGCTTCCTAACTTTTTAACAACCTTAGCGTCTTTCTGCGCACCGACCTGCTTCTAAACATATCCTAGTTAATTAAGTGAACCTACACTTCAAAACAATTTGATGGTGCATAATATTTTGGTGTATTTTTCAGATCAGTGGAAAATTGTTTGTTCGCACACAAAATATGAAAAAAAGAAAGCGAATAATAATAATTTTAGAAAATTGCGTCAGTGAAAAAAAAACGATCAAATCAATGCGCCGACTAATCCAACAAATGCAGCAATTTTCTAATTTTGTCAAAACGGTCATCGCTTAGAATGAAGGCAAGCGAAAGAACAGATTTACCGCGACAATGCAAATTGCGAATAGGAAAGCAAGCATTGCCATGAATAATGCAATCACCTTAAGACGAAAAATATTTCTATGATATGGTGACAATATATAACAAAAAGCACTAAGCAAAAATACGCCACTTTGGCCTATGGAACTGTGGCATATTTCTTAAATTAAAAAAAAAAGAATAAACAAAAGATATGCAGTTATGTACAAAAGCAAACGACCATTTTTCGCAAGCAATTTGATGTTATCGGAGGTAATACCAGTCTATCAGATAAAGCTGCTGGGGAATATATTCAGATTTAAACTTGGTTATTGTAACTTTTGCTGCGGTTTACTAAAAGCTAGATTCGAAGTACTGTTTCCCCGCCTTCGCCTACAGGTGTGAATGCCGAAGACGTGGAAAATTTTTCTGGTGTTGGATATGTCGGCGATCTATCGGAATGAACGGCAACGTCAGCACTTCCACCACATCCACTGTCTGTATCATCGTCATCAGAATGATTATGTTCCAAGTTTTGAGATGCGTTTGTTCTCGAAACGTTTAGAGCTAAAGATAGTTCGTCGCGAAATCGTACGGTCTGATTCGTGTCCCTTTTTTGTTGTCTTGACGGAATTGTAGATGTGTTTGATCTCATAGAGCTTTTTCTATCCTTAGTAAACCTTTCATTAGTAGCTGAGGGCGACGACATTTTGCATGTTTCATTTTCCCCTGTGCCAGTGAAATTTGATGAATTATGCTGAGATCTGGTTTCTTCGATTACACCAAGCGCATTTGTTCGCGATTCGGGAAGTGGAAGATCGAGCCCGAAAGTATTGATGGTCCCGTCGTCATTTACGATGCTTGTCCTCTGCTGTAAAGAAAAAGAAAAATTTATGTTAAATTTTGTAGTAAGACAAAACGCACTGGTACACGCACCAGTACATATTTCTGGTAGGGTTCAAAATCAATTTACTCAGTTTGTGGATGTTATATATTATTGTGAATATTATATAAGGCCCCATTTGATTAATTGATCCGTTTAAAAGTCCATTTCGTATATTTCGACGCCGGATAATTTATTTAATTTGTGAATATAAGGCCCTATTTAATTAATTGCTTCGTTTGAAAGTTCATTTCGTATTTCTTGACGTCGGTTGTTCACATGTTGAAAATTTCGAATTAAACACTATGCTTAACGTATCGCTCATAGTATGAGGAATTATGTAGAATCCATTCCTAACCAGGAATATTCTGGTCTTCATGAAAACTCATTTCATATCACTGATTTTGTGTCTGCTACCTCGTATTTATGCAAAATCACGAAAACGGTTTGTTAATATTACTGACATAATTGTATTGTATTAAGACCTACCTTGGGAATGTTAGTTGCATTGCTCATATTGTCCAAACTTCTGACATACAATCCACTGTTGCTTGAAGTCGAAGAACTTTGAGAATTTCTGGTGCCACCATATGCAGAATGATCCCTGTCCACGTCTACGGCATATTCTTCTATAGGATTATCTGACATGGACATCAAAGATGTTGCATATCCACAGGGATCTGATGGCCTCGACACGACGTTATAAAGGCAGGTTTCGGCTGAATTGACATTGTATATGGATTGGTTTTGCAGAATAGGTTTGGAATTTACGAATGATGTTCTACATTCCGGAATGGCACTGCAACAATCTTCGCAGTAAGGATCAAAACTATATCGCGACGAATCGAGAGTGCGGTATTGTCGTAAGCTGCTTCGGTATCCCAAACCTGTATAAAGAAGTTGTGTGTTAATACGAAATAGTCACGCAACGTCATGATAAAAAGTGGTAATAAAGTAAATGTTACCTTGTGTGTTTTTTGCGACGTTAGTTCCAGAGTACGACAGGGAGCTTAGTGCATCACAACTGTTGCCTCCACTCGGCCTTTTTGAGTAACTATGTCCTTCGTAAAGTGGTAAAACTGGAGGAAGTGGAAGATCCAGAGATTTGTCGAATGACTTTCTGCGGTTGTTTGTGAGGCATTCATCGCTAGGCAAAACATCTCTTCGAAAGCGAGGCTGCGTGAAATTACGAGGCATATGCGGCTCCTCTGTGATGGGCCTCTGCATTCGAGCACTTTGACTCGCAAATCCGAAGCGAGATAGTGACGCTTGTGATGTCACAGCATTGACGTCGTCTTTGAACGTAGGAAACGAGAATTTCGAGGCATGGCCATATCTGGAATCTGTTGAAAAAAGAAAATAAGTGAATGTATTCCTTGAACAACAAATTTTAAATTCATCCTTTGCCATTAGAACTTACCTGGCTGGTCAATAGAACTCTGACTGTCACACCTTGATACCGAGCAATCTAAGTAGCACGGCTGTCTGGCTTCCCTTGAATCAGAAGAGATTATTTTTGTCGCGGGGTCTTCACTGTCAAATTGATAGTCAAATCCAGATTCACCTTCTACGTTTCTGGTTAGCATGTGTTGATCTTCTTTGCAATCAGTGTCAACTTTTTCTTGTCTTCGTTTACTCGTCGAACCGCGAGATGACAAACTTGACTCTGCGTGTGTGAGGCTTTCGCAGTCTGTTTCAATAGTTTTAGGCTTGTAACTCTGCTTTGCAATTCTGCATCGTCTGAATGCTATTACACTGATCCCTATCACGAAGATAAATATGAGAAGGCTGACCACAGCAAGTGTAATAACATATCCTTTGGCGACTCCAAAGACGGCCCAAACATCTCTCGACTCGCGGTTAGACGAGATTGCTGTTTGCAGAACGATACTCTGACATGGATCACTTTCTCCGTAACTGTTTTTGGCGAATACTTGGAAAGTATATCTCTTGTTGGCTTTGAGACCTTCCACAAGGACTTCATTGGTTTCAGCAACAAGTTTCTGGTATCGTGCATCGGGTTTACCATGTTGGATTTCCTTGTATTGTACAACAAATTTTTGCTGTACACCGCCATCGAAGCCGGGTTTCCAGATTAAATAAACGGAAAAATGCGACGTGTTGAAACTATGAAGATTTGATGGAGCATCGGGTGGTCCTTGAAGCACAATGTTGATTAATTTTGTTCGCTTTCCTTGTTTATTTTTTGCTACACAGCGGAATTGTGCCACGATACTAGAGTCGTTAATGTTTGCATCATTTGGCTGAACATTGGCGACTCTCAAAGTACTTTTGGAGGTTTCGAAATCGATAACTTCATTTATAACTGAAAATCTAAGAACAAAAACAAGTGTTAAGTCTAGACTAAGGCAGTGAATATTGGTAATAGTTGAAAACACGGCATAAATGACGAACCTTTGCCTCTAAACATTTTCCAAGTAGAGGTTTCAGACAACAAAGTTGTCCAAGGGTAACGATATATTTGAAATATGAATGATGAATATAATCTTAATTCTATATGTAACAGATGAACCAACGTACCCGCTATTATCAAAAACAACGATTGGCAATTCTCCCTTCATCCAAGTAATGGTTGAAGCCGGCGTAGAATGTACGATACAAGGAAGAACCGCTGCTGGGGAGAGAGCACCTGAGCTGTCCACGGATGACACTGCAACTTTACTTGGACTTACATCGAAGAAGGCAGGAGAATCTAAAGGTAGGCGCATTTAACGATAAATCATCATTTGAGTGAATTGTCATTATGGGTTTGTCTGAAAATAATTAGATGAGGGAAGTAGTAGCTTAATGATGTACAAACTCACATAGCATGTCAATTTTGATATGATCTGTCGCTGGTTCTCCTATTCCATTGTCCACAACACATCTGTAACCTCCACGATCATCAGCAGTTATGTTGGCGAGCGATAAGATGCTGTGCGTTTGAAAATTTTCCACATCATAGCTATCCCTTCCGTTTCCAGGAATCTGCAAAATAATCAATATGTTACAAGTCAATTCTAAGTTGAATTAGAATAATACTAATTAAATATCTAACGACATACCTCTTTAACCCAAGTAACGTGAGCTGGTGTGAGTGGATGGGATTTAAAATCACATCGTAATTCGGTGGAATCTCCTTCCTGTAATGTTGTAGTTGGTCCGCTAATGCTAGTGATTCTTGCGGGATCTGAAAACAAGTATTCGAGTTTTAAACAAAATAATGAGGATATAATATAAAAAAAATAAGATATGTTGATGTATAATACATACAGAAAACATTAAGAGTGATATTCAACTCTGTTGATCCTCTAGCATTGGTAGCACGAATCATGTAAAGGCCTCCATCATCTTCCATCACGCTGTTTATGCGTAAACGACCACTATTCTCATTCCAAACTAAACGCGTGTCCTTCGTCAATGGTTTCTTTGTTATTTGCTCACCGCCGTCGCTTCCGATGTTATTGGATAAGATACGGAAGTAAGAATACGTCATTCCTGATGGATTCGAATGGGCAATTGTTTCGATATCAACAAAGTTATCTCCATAAGTTGCGTTGATAGACATTGCGTTGTTACCGATAGGATAAAATACTGGTGGATATTCTATGTTTAACTTGTGTGGTTTTGTTATGCTTTGCTGGAGAACGTGAACCTCTGCCCTGAAATTGAATAAAATTAGAATATTACTTGGTATTCATCAAAACTCAAGCACATACCAAAACAATTCTATGTGAACATTAAGCCACGTCATATTTACCATGAAAGTAGAAATGTCATTGATTTATTAAATTGTCTATTTTTCTTTCTCGATCATAACAAATATCTATATATATCAATTATATAGAAATATCTGTAGCATTGACTTACTTGCATGCAATATCAGCACCATCGTCTTCAACTTTGGGATTTGTGATTCTCAACCGACTGGACGCGACGTATCCTCCCAATTCACCAACTGTTAAGGGCAGTTCTATAACATATTGTTTTGAAAATTCCACATTGTTTCGATACCTAAAATGAATATGATTTCTATAAATAAGATGCGAGAGGATCTGAATAACTCAAAAGAATAATGAAATTTATTATACAAACCATGTGATTTTTGCTGGCGGATTACTGGACGAGGTTGTGCATGTCAAACTCATTGGATTTCCAACAACGAGTGATGTAGAAGGAAATTGCTCAATTATTAGTGAAGATGGGGGAAACGCAACCTGTAAAGTAAAATATTACATCATAAACGTAATCAAGCTTTGGTAACAATATCATCGTCGCCATTATTCTTCATCGTGACTTACCGAAAGCTTCTTTTTATCCACTAGCGTATCCTGGTAGCCGGGATGGTTTGCTGCGCACGATATGACTGCATCATTGTGAGACGCCTCCAAAGTCAGTTCAAGGGTTGAAATTGTGATGAATTCTCCGGTTGTCGCACCATCCGCGCTTTTCCCAGTGTATACTTTTACCTCCGGAGCGGAAATAGCGGTATTTTCGTCACCAATGATCGAAGTGTCATCTCGATGCCAATTCAAATTTGGCGGTGGATTTCCTCCCTGCAATTATGATGGTCGTTGAGTTACTAAACATTGTCTGTTTCATTCGAAAGTCTTATGTCAATGTAAATCTTACCCTGGTCTCGCATCGCAGCAAAACGACATCACCCACTTTATATGATACTTCTTTGCCCGAAGAATTCTCGCTAGCCTTCGAATCAGGAATATTGACAGTACTTGGTGTAGGTGTAATTGTCACAGGCGCGCTGAGAGAAAATGTCGTCAAAGCCAGTTTTCTTGGAGGATAGTTGACCTTGGGATATGTGGAAGCCTAAAAAAACGATGAATTATATTTATTAAAAACTAAATTCTGTTTCACATTCACCAATATTCTGAAATTATAGAACTTACCTCGCCAACGTAATCGATTTCTGGAATTGTTGCTCGACACGTAATTTTAGCGTTTGCATCTTGGCGGCGTACTGAAGTAAGAGTCAAGCTGATACGTGCAGCGGATGGGTCAGCACCTAGATTTCGAATCATATACGGCACAGATACTACACCATCACTCCAATGCAAGGGTAGTTCGATACCATCAATGAACCTGCAAAATAATCATCTTGATTAGCAAAATAGAATTGTAACAAACTAACAATTAAATACGATATCGTGAATGAAAAGCCTATGTCCCATCCGATCCATCCTCTTATGAATAAAGAAAAATGATTATTATACTCACCATGCTAGGCTTGCGCGTGGATTGCTACGTGCATAATGACACGTGAGTGTTATAATTCCATTCTCGGGTGCGCCATCTTCCGGGTCACGTTCTATAACAATGTTTTCAGGAGGATCTGAAAAATATCGTTATTAAAACGTTTGTTAAAGCCTCGAATTATAAAAAAAATATTAACATAGATAAAACCATTGCACACTGGGACACTTACATTGCACTTCCAATTTCAATTGATCGGTTAAAGGTGAATCAAGGGCTGGACTTTCTCCACGACATGTTAGTATCTTTCCATCGTCGTCTGGACGAAGTTTGTGCCGTAACAAGCTCTGTGAACCATCTTTTGTTGGTGTGTATTCTCCGTGGATGACCTCATCATCCTAGGAATAATATTTATTATTATAGATCATATCACATGTTGAATATGGTTTCAGCCTCTTATTCGGTAATTTGTGGTTGAAACATAAGTTTACCATTGGGCAAAACGAGTCAATATGGAAATTACTCCAAGGATAAAAATATTCAAAACACGGAAATACTTTAATGTCAGAAAAAGAAAAATGCAAGACAAAAGTCGCGAATGATGTTTTCCAACATTTGGAAAGTTCAAGTGTCAATCTCGTCGAATCTACATATTGCAAGCACGAAAATATTAACGTCCTTGAGCTTATCACGGATACATCATTGATTCAATCATTTCGTGGAAGACATAACTTAGTGGTTATCTTTCGCGCTAAAACTTAGGGAGTGCACAATATCGTTTGTTCTTTCATCGCCGCATTTTCGCAGTCATCATCAAATTTGTAACCTACATAATATGAAAAGCACGCGACCAAAGTCATTAAATCAATGTGGCAGCTTAAGTTACTATAGTCAGGCGTATTTGACGAGACAACGGAAAGCAAGCAGACTTCCAAGAAATCATTTCCGAAATAAGGAGTGACGCGGGATTATTATCACAAAATCCTGCTGGTGCATCAATCTACCGGAATTTTGCACAGCTTGCCACATGTTTGCTTCCATCTTCAATGACCTTACAATTGAATAAAAACCCCACACCACATCCTGTGACAGCCTGTGCAATATATTTTGAACTGTTCACTAGCGCGTGGATTTCGTTTATACCAAATAGTGTGCAAGTGAACTTTTAATTGTTGACAACATTTTCGTCGTTAATCGAGGTGCCTAAAAATCACTGACAATGGAAAAACCCTGTTTTTACTTCGGAACTCGAGTTAAATTATATATAAATAAAAACCATTTATTATTAGTTTGTTTTTCAAAGAAACCTACAGATTAATCAAGCACTTTTAGACCCAGATTCGCCAGTTGGTAAATATTGAGATTTGCAAAAGTCTTCTGCCAATGCCATATTGCAGAATCGGTATGCACGGTGGGAAACGCACATTCATTTTGCTGGCAGAAGATTTTCACACGATATCAGATAAAGTATTATGAAAGACAATTCCCAATTGATAATGTTATTATTCTCCCCTGAGAAATCGACCGTTACTGGCATTTCACTGTTGTTTTCAGATCCGTTAACTTTTGCGCCAAAATTTGAGGGCTCATTTACGGAAAGAGGCACAATGTTACTATTTTTAGGTTTACGTAGCAATGGGTCGATGCAGTATCTTACACAAACTTTTTAATCAATTTTCACTGAAATATCATGTTTGGTCATGTATCTCTCGTATTTTTCAATCAAAACCAAAATTTGAAAGAAAGAAATATTTCCGCTGCCATAAGACAGCTTAAAGATAACCGGACGAATAAACCAAATAAGCTGAATGCAACGCGCGATTTTTTAATTGCGTATAATGAGTGCACGCTGCGTTATCATGATGAAGAAGAACGGATGTCCTAATTGCATTAATTATGCGAGGGAAATTAAACAAACAACGCTAATCTTAGCATCCGAGCGTATTAGCAAAGTTCAGAACAGTTGTTTGTATTGATAATGACAATACTTCAAGCGCATATTTATGCAGGAGAGGGTCAAGGAATTTAATTGTATTTCATATGGCCAGTCATGAAACATAGATCTGCATTCGATAGTCAATCTTATATCAATGAGTTGTCATGCTGCTCTATCCAGCATATTTCGCTTCAATGCACATACAGTTTTTGTTGAATATTTGTCAACAAAACCAAGTCCCCATTTGTTAGGTTTCAGCTACATAACTAAGCACGGGCGTAACAGCACTAAAAAAATAGATCATACAATGACCCATACAATAAAATGACAAAATCCGAAAATCAATTCCAAAATAAGTTATTGTGCTCGGATAAACTTTTGCAGTCAATTCTAATTTGGCTCGATTGGAATGGCAAATCGCGTTAAGCTGTATCACTTTTGATCGAACGCCACCCTAACAGCATTTTTATTTTCGTATTGATTTTAACAACGCAATAATTAATTTAGTTATTACAAAATGTCATCTACAATCAGCTCAAATTTTTCATCCAGCTATACGTCGATACTTGTCTTCCCAAAGGACGAAAAATTCTCCAAAAAACAGCTAATCGAACGCGGGTACACTTTGGTCCATTCGTGATCAAACACTCTCGTTTGCATATTTAACAATGTAATTTTATGTCTTGCTTTCTGAATTACTTCTTTAGAAAATTGATTATTTCAACCTATGACGTGTCAGAACTTTTTTGTTCATTGTGGCGTAAGGGAGACATGTTATTTTACGAGTCGGTGCCTCATTTTCTAATGAAATTTCTACAAAAAAAAAAAACAATGCACGATTTTGCATAGGGCGTATCCACACATTCAATTCGAACAAGCCTTTGCAATCGCTGACCCGTAAAAAGTAACCTCATCTAGAAAAGGCCCAGATTTTACGAGTTGACATTGCCTACCCTACAGGAGACACGGGAATCGAACCCAAAATTTTTTACAATATCAGCGATCATATTTCGACATTTATAGCAAAGTTTAATTCTAAAAAATATTTGAGAACCTAAAATCCTGAATGTATCTTTATAAAATTGAGTGTTTCAACGACAGTTGTTCATAAATTCTTTATTTAATACGCAGCGTTTTTTTAATATTTATTTTCATATCGTGTGTCAGGGCTTATAACCCTCTGTCACAAGGGCCTTTTCATAATTACGTAGCGCATTTCTGAATAAAAACGCTTAATATCAATTTCAATCACGGATTAAATCGCAAAACCATTTAATTATACACTTACAATTAGCCAGGTGATTTTTGCAGAAGGATTCCCACCAGCTGCTTCGCACTTTAGGGATAGTTGGTCCCCGCTTCTCATGGGCTGACCGGCAAATCCAGAAATTCGTGGCGCGCTGGGAGGATCTAGATTAAAAATTAATATTCATCTCTGCGATTAAATTTGTGTAATCCGTGGATCAAAACTTGAAACACGTCTAAACACCAATAGAGACAAGCTAATCAGATTAATCTCTATAGAAAATTCTATCAAATAACTCACACAGAACATTCAACTTGGAAATGCTTGAGATCGGCGAGTTCATAGCTAAATGGCTGACAATACATTCCACCATCGAGCCATTTTGAACTTTGCTTGGTTGGAGAGTGATACTGCTTGAGGTCGTGACCAGTTTTGAACCTAAAAAGAATTATTTTTATTGAAAAATCTTTAAAATGAAAAATAGAAGAAACTCGCTGAAAATGAACATTCCTATTTACCCCATTTTGTAAGGACTTTCTTGCTTATTGAGCCGCTGTATTCTTTGCCTTGGACTCTCCATTTGATGACAGATGCAGGCTTGGTTTCGGGAACTGAGCAAGTAATTTTGACACTGTTTGGATACTTAACATCGATTACTCCGGATACTGAGGGTTCCAATCGGACTTTCTTGGGCGGAACTGTCACAAAGAGAAATTGATGTTTATTGTGTTGCGTCCTTTTTTTTTAATTCATTTTCTACAATTTATCTAATCATTGATCTTCCAAACAACCTTTTGGGATAAAACAGACTTGTTAAATAAACAATTTGTCGTCCAATTAAGCGCCGTATGAAAGTAGTTTCAGGTTTGCGTAACCCCAATATCCAATTAGTCGTAAATGTATTTAGTAGTTCATGGACTGGGGAGCACTATACCACTCGTAATGGAAGTTTCATAATCGTTGCCCTAAGCACCGCTTATATTTTCATCCTATATATTATCATTTTGGTCAATAGTTTCGTAGACGTTTTCCCTATAGCCGTCAGATTACAACTTTATATAGTTGACTGTTTCCATTCCCTATTGGGTTCTTCGGAATCGATTTTTGTATCATTTTGTCGGAATATTTCCCAAAAGAACGATTAAAATGCTAACCGATGACGTTGAGGTAAGCCGCACGAGAAATCAAATTGTCGAGTCCCTCATCTTCGCTTCCGGTAGCTTGGCATCTATACATACCATCATCTTCTAGTTTAACGTTAACAATTTGTAGATTGTATTCACCTGTGAGATTTGAAATATTTATATTAGCAATACTAGACTATACACATTCAACATAATATACTGAAATTTAGAATTTTGTGTTTATATAGATACACACATCTCGAAGTGTTCGATATTTAGTAGAAGGAAGATATATCATTTATCTGACAGTTTTACTCTGGTATGCTCAATACACTTTCTTGTCGAATGAGCATTTTCCACCATGGAATTTTTAGTACTATAATTCATACCTTTACTTTCGCTGCCAGTCAAGGAAAGTCGTGGATCAGAAAACCATCTTCCGAGCCCGAAACCATCGACACTCCATTGTACCTCGGTCTGAAATTGTGGGTTCGGAATTAAAATGTGTTTTGTTAGTAAATATGTTTGGTTCAAATTGTAACGTGGCTCCGTCCATACATAATAATTGTATCGATTTTGCATAAGTTTGCTAAGCATAGAGCCAGCGCAGACAGAATTGGTTGCAAATAATTAAAATTGGAATTTCGGAAAGGTCATTTTTGAATAATATAATGTGCGTAACGACGACGCACAATTGGATGATCATTGATTGTCGACTTTACAATAATATTGAAATCTCCTTTTACTTCTGATGCATCGAAGCCGTGCAAAATTGTAGATAAAAAAATGATCAGAACATTGAGAAGCATATTTTTTGTAAATTATTGTCAAATAAAATGCAATAAATAAACTGAAACCTACATGTAGGTTAGCGATCGCACATCTCAAAGAAGCTCTTCCTCCGATAGTCACAGTCGTATTGAATGGTTGCCGAACGAAATAATGCTTCGGGACTTGACACGCCACGGCTGAAAATACAATAATAAGGTACTAATGAAGAAACAAAATCATGGCAAATTTAATAATCGTCTTCGAGTATATTCAATTATTCCAAAAATTTAGATGTCAATTATGTGAAGGTGTGCATGTACAACAAAAGACTCACTGGCTGGAGAATGTGCTTCCCTGTTCTAAGTAATGAATAATTATACGAGAATGGGTAATAAAACGCTGATCGCGCGTTAAACATCTTGTACTCGACCGTCGTGCATCATATTGCATCGTTAATTACCAAGATCGAGTGACGGAACGATCGTAAAAATGTCTACGTAATCTGAGAACAAAGGGAGCCATGTTGTAGAAACGCTGAGAATTAACAAGAAATTCCAGAAAAAAAAGTTTTTTTAGACTCTGTCTGACTCGTCACTGGCATTGGAACCCCAGCGAAATAGTGATAATTTCTAACTCCTAATACCTTTTCTTTTTTAATTATGTAGGAATAATATTAATGATACTAACGGCTATGGTAGTTCGTGTTATGATCTATTTTATGAATGTATATTTATTCTATATTCCATTTATTTAAAGGTTATTTCGCGAGAACAACCAGCTCTCGCACTGGCGCAATAATCACAAAATCTTCGATGTATCGTTAGGTAACTTTCAATTCTGACATGAACATCTTCAACACAAATAACTTTTACAAACTTAGCGTACATAGGATGCATATAGACGTTTCATGTTCGTATGAAAAATGTTAAAATAAATCCGCGCCGATAATTAGGTAAAGTGATTGCGTCTCGTTAGCATAATGGAGGAACATTGGAGCAGCGTTCAAAATGTACGCAATGTTAGATGCCTGCTTTATAAAATGACACATTTTCGTAGAACTTACTGAATATTTAGTTGAAAATAGATAAATATAAATAATCTTACAGTTAAATAACATCATCAAGACGATCCATTTCTCCGCCTGATACAATCCAAGCATTGTTTGTCCTCTGTTTCAGTTGTCGTGGAATCGCTGTTCTTTCGGTTTACAGTCAATATAGTTCTTTGTAACGTAAACGTTTATTTAATTTATTTTATGCCAGGTTTTTATCAATTGATTTCTGTTAACATACTTTGTTATCTGTAAAAAAGATAACAGATTATAATTTTATGCTCAGCGTTGGCTAGAACACAGCTGAAACTAAACCAGCAATCAATCTCATGCTCGTACTGTCGTAATAATCTTGCAATGGAGAGTTGCCCGTACCGCCGTTCAACAAATCTGGATTGTTCGGGTAAACCCAGCAAATTCAAACGTAAACAATGCAATGCTATGCCATGCTATTTGCTACTTCCTGCTTCCTAGTAAACTTTGCACCAAGAGATCATCAAAATATCAGTTCGCATCATCAAAACGTTGTAAGATATATCGCTTATTAATTTAACAACCTGCCGCTTACCGAAGTTGGGTCATAAAATAGTTCGCAAATCATGTTTACTGCCTATCAAATGTCCGATCAATTAGCGATTGAGATTCCTGAGCGAAATGTGCCAATTTTGCTTTGAGGAACAAAATACGCTAATTTCGGGTGCTGTTTAGTGGCAAATTATTAGCAATTGAGGGCGATGCGTAAATAAACAAACGACTGTGGCGTTATCTGACCCAAACTAGGTATAAACAAGTCTTCTCACGCGCACAATTTATTGTATTGAAGCTCGATTCCCTAAAAATATGCAACATGTGATTACGCGACATTACCATTCCAATGGTTTGGCACTTCGTATGCCCTGGGCAGTGTATTGGTTTCTATAAGCAAAGTTCACACCTTCATTTGGCTGAATCATCAAAAGCTGAATTGCAGTTACGCTGTGGGGATTCTACAAGTCGAGAATAGCAGATTACCACGTTGCTATATTTGTACCCGCTTGAAACTTGTGACATATTCAATTGGATAGATATGCAGCGATAAAGTTCAAGTTTTTATCAGGTGCGAATGACATACAGACATACAGATTTTCAAATTGCAAACATCTGACAATGTCTGAATGTATGCCGCACATGCTATCCTCTGAGTTTATAGACTTGATCCCGTGATCTGTCGTAATAAACGCTGCAAGGGGTACAATAGCAAGTTAGCCGGTGTTCATATCTAATGGTATAGTAACGGCAATTAAATCTCTGAGCTGCACTGTACCGGTAAGTATAATCGTCCTTTCTACAGTCTGACAGTATCAGCCTGATATGTTTGAACTTGAACATTTCCCTTTCTAATAATGAAACCTGTTCATGCTATCGTAAACATCAAGGGCGCAATTCTAACGGTACTTGCACTCGGTTCTTTAACGCGGTGTGTTAAACCTAAATTTCCATTGCACATTGAGAAAAGCGAAGCACCCCTGCTTATCCCGTATAACTAAAGTTCGTCAAGTTTGCACCCCGAATTTGTCTCATATTAAAAACCCCAAGCTGCAACGTAGGATGTATAAGAGCATATAAACGAAATCCGCTCTGATAAATATTACAATTCAACATACAGCCCAAAATAAGAGGGAAAGAGAAACAACCGTCACCCTGATGTAAACAACCTCAACTTGAAAGGGATACGCTATCTGACTGACAGAGAGACGCAGACGGTTCTATCTATTCACTCCTCGCAGCGGAGACTATCGCCTCTCCCTCCTTTTTTCGTCTCGCGATAAAGAGCTGATCTTCGAACAAGCGGTTTTATCTCCCGCCGAGTGAAAGCGGGAGCAGAAACTTCTTATCCTACCTTCAGACAAGTGATAGCAAACGGACATTGGATATTTATCGTATTAAAACTTAATTACTCTTCCGCAAACAAATGTTAGATAAAGTTTGTATTAATCCTCTTTCATGATGTTCAAAACACAGAAAAGTTCTTGAAACGACAGAAATAAACTAACCAAGGTCATATCAAGAAAATACCACATACATTAAAAATGAAATTTTGCCTATATGAGATTTCTGACCGAATTGGTCGAAAATCTAACAAGTGTCACAAAACCAGTGGCTCGGGATCATTTGATGCATACTCCACGTTTCGAAGACTGGACAATGCAATGGTCATATGGTTATTTTTTTATGAAGAAAAATTTCACAATCCAAGTACTCACAACACTCGAAATTATAAGTAATGACATCTAAATATCAAGTAAAAACATCCCGATATAGCTAATACTCTGTTCATTTAATGCGAGTATACTTTACTCTGGCCACAAAAAAGCAAAATTAAGTTGTACTTGTCTATTGCGCACATCGATTGACTACTAAAAGATTGACGACATTTTGAAAATTAAATTACTAAATAGTTAGAATCATTTCTGAGCGTAAAAAGTATCAAGTTAAAAATGCTAATGCTTGATCTTAGCATCTGGTAACTTGCTAAAATTATTCTGCACGCTGAAAAATATCTCATTTGATTAAATTATTGATTCCTCCCTGAAATTTATGTCGTAACACCAACATAATAATATTAAAATTAGTATAAAAAAATTATTTTTAACTGAATTTATGTTTTGATGCGCTGCTGATCAACTACGATTGTTTATTACGTTTAAAATAGTTTGTGGAAGGTTCTCGGACAACAGTTATCTTCGGGCATCTCCGCCCGCATTTTTATGGTTCCGTAAAATGTGCTAAAATTAAGTTTGGCGTAGACTGTTTCCTCTAAAAAACGATCCAAATTAATTTAGTAATATTTTGCATATACGCGCGATGCGTCACTTATAATACGCAAAACGTTCCGTTACTATTTTGGATTGTTTTTGTAGAATTATTCATATGCCATAACTGATCCAATGTAAAATACCTCAAAGGGATGGCCTTAATGCGGGGCGATTGTCTCTAGGGTATTGCCTCTCCCGGGGGAAGTAAGCAAACTTGCCCGACGACCCGAAGTTATCGATTGCTGATTCTTATAGCAGCTAGCATAGAGTTACCTCAAAACTCCAAAGTGATAGAGTTACACATAAACTTGAATTACCTGTCATAGTATTGATCGGTCGTGTGCGCTAAATCTGAACAGCCATTTGTTTTTTAGAGGCGATCGATCATTGGCAACTACACAAATGCGCATGCCATGCGGTAATATGGGGCATCGGTTTCAATTACAGTCGATTTTTAACAAACCTTCTTGGACTAATTAATATGAGAATTTGGCATTGTAAAGAGAAAAGATATATATGGTGCTAAGTTTAAATCTAATAGCCACAAAGCTAGTCAATGAACTTTTATCAAATTTTATTAAAAAATCATCTAATATGCGCAGACAAAGAAATCAAAAGGAAAACTTTTATGTGGATTCTAATGGATGACTCATGCATTCAAATTGCGATTACTACGACGATCGTGGAATTCCTGGCCCCAATTTAAATATATAAACAAGAATTTGTTATTAGACTTCATGATGAAAAGCGGCGCATCAAGACGTTTAACAATAAAAACAATAATACCGTTTCCTTCCTAAACATAAGAACGCGAGATAAGTCTACTTCAAGAACAAACTCAGCCAGGCTGTCGGGATAAGCTCAGAACTTCAAAATCGGTTCATGTCGATGTTCTTTTTAGGAAATCCATCCTAGACTGAGCAAGCTGAGCGCTTTATCATTACCATCATACTTGGTATATGTTTAAGATTGCAACAGGCAAAATCAATGTTATAAGAACTAATTAGCTAAATATATTACAAAGCTTCGCATGATTGGCATAATTGTCGATATTTCATATATAATGGGATGTTTATTGAAAATTACTTCGCGGTATTTTAAATAGAGTATGTGTTGCAGCCAATAGGTCGAACACAATACACTATTGTTTTGCAAAGTTTTAAAGAATTTAATTATGGAAGTTCTAGTTTTGCGACACGCTTCCTAATGTGACCTTTGATTTGAAAATACCGCTATTTTGCTGTGACCTCTTGACCTCCACTTTCTATTTTTTTTCTCGTATAAGCAAGCATTTTATTACATTTGGACCCTTTGCAATGTTGAATCACTCACTTAAAGTAATATTGCCAACATTTACAATGGCTAACGATTTATCTCGATAGCCTTTTCTACGTCCATTCCTAATTAAAATAAAATGAATATTTTTTTTTATGAATTTTAAGAATTTAAAAATCTCATCTTCATGGTGCGCGGAATTTTTTACTCCACAAATGCACGAATTCATTGATTTTTTTTATCCGGCTTTTCAAAAACAATCTATGTAAATGTTGCGGTCACTGACGATTTTTTTTTCTAATTTCCAACATTTTCCTTAAATATTTTCCTTCAAACAAATCGGCTTACTTGTAAAAGAAAATTGTTAAAAAGGTTGATAAATCGAAGTTGAAAAAAAAAATAGAAATCTAGAACCATTATCGGTTTAAATTGCAATTAAATAGTTTATCCAGTACCACGTATGGTATACATTAATTTGGCTTATAATTAAAACAAGAACACGTATGATACAGATATTACTAATACTGGGATGATAGCAACTGTAACGAGTCATATGCCACACAAAATATTAATAATATTAACACATCACGCCCACCTATATTGATTCTGATTTCGAAATTGGGCGAAAAAACTTTTTACGAGTACAAGCCATATATGGAGCATACGCGGGGAACAAATCCAGATGCAGCACATACTTGATCATTAAATAATAAACAAATAATTTTTGATTGAGACAGACACAAAATTATTTTTTATCAAAATGGATTGAGCGATAGCTTCCGACGTGTAACGATTTTTAGCTTCTGTGGGTTGCCTCAGACTCTTTGTGGGAATGTAACTTTAAGTAGCGATCGTTAAATAACAACTTATTTGTTTTCGCTAGAATTAAACCCATTTTCTCGGCCAATTGTGCATTACCAACATCTATTACAAACGAATATTAGTACTTCACATTGTTGATAAGATATATTATTCAAGAAAAAGCGTCATAAAATTATCATCAGCACTTGCTGAGAGTCAACATCTTGTGAGGAAGTACAAGGTGTTTTTTACAAAATAACAAGTTGCGACATTGTCAAACATTTCCTTTTGAATAATAAGTTAGTTCAAATTCATTCAACGTGTCGATTGCATATCACGCAGAGGTATAGAGATAGGTGCATAAACAAAAGCGTAACTATTGATGCACCCTGT